CGCTGGCGAACTCAGGCGGCGTTGCGGCCTTGGTGCGCAGCGACCTGCAGGCAGCGGAGATAGCCTGGCAGGTTCCGAGCGACCTGGGGCATCGCATGATTGGAGTCACAGTGTCCACCGCGTCAGGCCTGCAGCTCCTGGCGTGCTCGCTGCATCTGCAGGACGCCTTGGGACCAAAGGGCATCGACCTCGACATCTTCGCCGCCTTCGGCGACATGGCGCTCTCCGCAGGCATGCCCTGGCTAGTGCAGGGCGACTTCAACGTGGAGCCAGGCACGCTGCGCGAGTTGGGATGGCCCAGAGTGCAGCGCGGCACGTACCTGGGGCCTGCAGAGTGCACATGCGTAGCCCAAGGTGCCGAGCATGTGTACGACTGGTTTGCGAGCTCCTTCTGCCTGGCCCATGGGGTCAGAGAAGCCTCAGCTCTGGATGGCTTTGGGCTGTATCCCCACAAGCCTGCGGGGCAACTGCTGCAGGACGTTAGACCAGATGCCCTGGTGCAGGTGCTGGTTCGCCCTGGTCGTTTCCCTGATGTCGACGCCGCTGCTTGCCGACCTCGCGATGATGCTGCAGCCCAGGTGCACCGCCGCTTGGGGCGCACTCGCTCGCAGGTGGAGCCTTGCCGCTGGTCCTGGGAGGTGGGCCCCCGACCGAGTGACCCCCGCGAAGCAGCTCGGCATTGGGCCCAAGTCGTCGAGAGCACCTTGGTGGGGATCCACGGAATCGATGACGGCGACCTGCACAGGTACCTGGGACGGTCCGAAGGGCCCAAGATTGTCCCCGAGCCCTTCAGCGCTGTGGTCAAGCGCGAGCACCGCCACCGGCACTCGGCCCTCACCCACGCCATCCGCCAGGCCCTCGACGTAGCGCCCCAGAGGCTTCCTGCTAACAGGACGCAGCGTTGGCAGCCTGCGCGCGAGGCCTGGTACGAGCGGCAGGTGGAGCGGGTCCTCGCCGATGTGGAGTCGGCCACCGTAGCGGTTTGCGAGGACGACGAAGTCGAGGCCCTCGAGTTCGACACTAGCGAGTGGGGCGACCTCATTGGCCAAGCTGGTATACATGGGGACCCTGAGGCAATTGCAGTGCTGCAGCGGCGCCTCGCGAGCTCCCAGAAGCGAGATGGCGGCGAGAGCTCGGTCTCCTGGAGAGCATGGGCCAAGGAGGCCGTGCAGAAGGGCGGCAGACTCGCCCGCAGGTTTGCCAAGGCTGTGCCGCCCCCGCAGGTGGTGGACCCAGATACTGGCAGACCTTTGGCAGGCATGCTGGCAGTCGGGCAGCTGGAGGCCAACGGGCAGGCCCTGTGGCAGCAGGAGGGCTTCAGGGCTGGAGCTGGAGTCGGGAGCTTGGACGTCCGAGGCTCGACGTTGCCGCCCCTCAGCCTGGAGATGTTGCAGGCTGCGTGCAAGCGCTACTCGCCGACGGCGGGCCTGGGCGCTGACCAGCTCCACCCGCGGCAGCTGCTGCTGCTCCCCGTGGCCCTGCAGTTGCGCTGCCTGGACCTCCTGGAGGCCTACGAGGAGCAGCCCCGGGCCCTGGGCGCCCAGGCCACCATGATGGTCTTCATTCCCAAGGCGGACGGTGGGGTCCGACCGATCGCGCTGATCCCGCTGCTCATGCGCATCTGGAGCCGCCTGAGGCAGCCAATCTGTGCACTGTGGGAGGCGGAGCACGACTGCCGTTTCTTCTGGGGCAAGGCCGACCGCGGGTGCGAGAAGGCAGGGTGGCTGCACAACGCGTTTGCCGCCGTCGCGCGGGAGAATGGGCTTGCCGCCGCCAGCCTCTTTTTTGACATCACCAAGTTCTACGAGAACCTGCGGCACGACGTCCTGTGGCAGTGCGGGATCGAGCATGGCTTCAACTTGAAGCTGCTGCGAGGCCTGCTCGTGCTCTACCAGAGCCCGCGTTTCATCTGCTTCGCGGGCCTGGCCACCGAGTCGTTCACCACCAACGGGGCGGTTCTGGCGGGGTGCGCGTGTGCAACCGCTGTGGCCAAGCTGCCTGTGCTTGCAGCCCTCCGTGCTGCCCCGGCGGGTGGCAGGCCACTGGTGGTCGCGCGCAACGTCGTCGATGACATCGCGCTGCAGGCAGTCGGCACAGAGCGGCTGGTCGCCGCGCAGCTGGACAGTGCTGGGCTGGAAGTGGCCTGCATCCTCCGTGGCCAGCACCTGCCCATCAGTGCCGCCAAGGCGACCTTCCTCGCCTCGAGTCCCAGCCTTGGACGCCAGCATGGCGAGCACTGGAGGTCGCAGGGCTGGACCTGCCGTAAGACCTTGCAGGCCAGGAACCTCGGCACGGACGCCGCCATCACGAGGCGAGGAGTGCATGAGGGCCGAGTACGAGCTGCTGGAGCGCTTCGCCGAGCACGCAGGCTGGGTTGCCTTCGCGCTGCTGGCGTGGAGGTGGACCTGATCCACAAGGCTGGGCCCGCAGCCAGCATGGCGTGGGGGCGCGCGGTCACGGGCATCGCCGACGGCGAGCTGCACAGCTAGAGGCTCGCGGCATGCCGCAGCGCAGGGACGCCCCCCATGGGCGCTGCGCTTGGGCTTCGCGTGCGCTGCGCCGAGCTCAGGAGGAGGCGGGACCTGGATCCTGCAGCCCTCACGGCCGGCCACGCAGTCCAGATGCTGGCGAGCCTCCTGCAGTCAGCCGAGCTGCCGCACAGGATGATGGCGCGGGGGCTGGAGGCGGCGGCGACCAGGCACGCGAGTGCCGACACGCCGTGGAAGCACTGCGCTTCCCCCATCGACGCGGCGGTGCTGACTCTCGCGCGGATCGGCTGGCGCTTCAAGTCCGAGCGGTACTTGGTCACGGACCTCGGCGACGAGCTCGACCTCTTGCCCCTCGGGCCTCGGGAGCTGGGCTTGGAGGCTGGCCTCGGCGCTAGGCGTGCCTCCGATCGCCACGAGATGCGGCAGCTCAGCCACGACCCCCTCTTGCAGCGGCCGCTGTACTCTGACGCCATCGGACGTCTGCTCGGGCCAGACAGCGAGCTGAGCGTGAGGGGGCAGAACTCGCTTGGGGCCTACATCTCCAGCACGCACAGGACGCAGGCCAGGCTCTTTGATGCAGGCGAGCGGGGGCACGCGCGTTGCTGCCGCTGCGGGGCCGAGCGAGGCACCTTGTGGCACCGCCTGTTCGAGTGCCCCGTGCTGGAACCCCAGCGACGCGACGGAGCGTCGGCACGGCTGAAGCGGTGTGCAGAGCGAACGCGGGCCCTTAGTAAGTGCTCTGGCGAGAACTTCGCCCGCTGTTGGCTGCCTGCCCCAGAGCCGCCACAGGGTCGCCGCACTGACGCAATGTGGGTGCAGTGGGTCTGTAGGCCAGCCGATGATAAGCTCAACGGCAAGCTGTGCCTTGATGGTTCGGCCCTCGATCCGCAGTTCAGTGCTTTGCGCCGCGCGGGTTGGGCCATTGCGCAGTGCGACGACGACGGCAACCTTGTCGCAGGAGTGTACGGCACCGTCAGGCGTGATCTCTGCCCGCAGCAGGCGGCTAAGGACGGCGAGGACTTCGCAGTCTGGATGCTCGCCACCTTTGCGGGGCCAGCGGTGGAGGGGGTCAACATCGACTGCAGCTCCACCGCGACTTGCCTGCGCAGAGGACGTGCGCACGCCACGGCGCCCAGCAGGGCCAACGCCCACCTGCGGGGCAGGATCCTGGCGTGCTTCGAGCCAGGTACCTTCGAGGTGAAGAAGGTGCCAGCCCACTGTTCGAGGCAGGCGGTGCTCGACGGCCTCCTGACGGAGGCCCAGAGGCGCGGCAACGAGCATGCAGACCGCCTTGCCAAGATGGGTGCCCAGATGCATGCTGCGGACAGTCGGACGGTTGGCGAGCACCACGCGCTGGCGGAGATCGCGCTGGAGCTCGGGCGCTGGATCTGTCGGGCAGCCATCATCTGGCAAGACATCGCGGCCAAGGATTGCGAAGGGCCCCCTCCTGCGGCTGAGCGGCGCCAGGTGCGCTTCGCCGCCGCCGAGTTGTCTCAGGCGGCTGAGGAGGCCGCCGGCACTGTGCCGATGGCCAAGCGGCCACGCCTGGAGAGCGCTCGCTCGACTGGCAGCACCTCGGCCGCCCTCTCGGCCAGCGCTGTAGCCTTCAGCATCTTGGGACACGCCCTTTCCTACGCCTGCGCTGGAGAAGGTGACGGCGCCCAAGAGCTCGTGGCGCGCGCCAAGTGCGGCGCCTACATGACGTTGGGTGGTCGCTCAGGGGTGAGTCCTCGCCTCAAGGAGCGGTGCCCAGGCGACGAAGCCGACGAGGGGGGCAGGAACCAGCGCAGCCTGCGGCTTCGGGGGCTCCATCCAGGAGGCAGGAGGCAGGAAGGGTCCTGAGCCGCCAGGCGCAGAGTGAAAGGAGTGGGCATCCCTGCTTTGCTTTCGCAGGGGCCACTGCCTGGGCATACGCAGGAGTGGTACCTGGAGTGGCTCGGCTTCGCAGCGGAGCCAGCTGTCGACCCCTCGGCTGCGGCGAGCAGCGCGGGCAGCGCCCCAGCGGCGGCCGCGAGGCCCGAGGAGGCGGAGGGCCTAGGCGTGGCCCCCGTTGCTGCGCCCGCCGCAGCCGCCGTCGCCAGCCAGCCTCTGCGGCGCCCAGCCGCGGCGAGAGCTGGGCTCCTCGGAGCTTTCGGAGTCACCGAAGAGGAGCTCGCCGCCGCGGCCCATGCAGCAGCCGACGCCCTTGAGGACCGCAGGGTGCGCCGCCGTATGGCACGCCGTGGCGATCCGCCCGTGAGTGAGTGAAATAGTGCATCGGTGAGGCTCGCGCCAGCAGCTCCCCTTGGTGAGTAGGCTTCCGCCGCCCTCGGTGCTTGCTCTGGACTCGGCTTCTTGCGGGAACGCGGGCCCCGTCTGGCCCTGTTTGCGTTTTCTGGCCACCACTTGCCTTGAAGGCCCCGTCTTAAACTTTAATTTTTAACACGCAGGAGCACGGTGCAACACAGGAGCACGAGGAGGGCGGCAGAGCACGGCAGCAAAAGCAGGAACGCGGCAGGACATGCAGGAGCACGGCAGAACACGCGGGAGCACGGCAGAACATGCAAAACACACTCCGTAGCCATTTTGGCTCAAGCCATTTTGGCTCAAGCCATTTTGGCTCAAGCCATTTCCCGCGGCCCGTCCTTCGGTCTCCCGTGCTGGGCGCGCATGGCCGTGAGGGCGCCGCTGGAGGGTGCGGGCCTGGGAGCGATGGCGGCGGGGAGACGGCCGCGGCGGCCGTCCGAGGCGGCGCGGAGGCCTCAGCGCGAGCGGCGGGCCGCACAGCGTTGGGCAGCCCTCTCCCGCGAGCGCCTGGTGGAGCGCCAGGCGCCCGAGCTCGTGGAACTGCGGTGCCTGGCATCGGCCCCCCCCAGTGTCCTGCGCCGCCTGGCGCCTGTGGCGCCCGCGCTGATCGCCCAGGAGCACGGCGGGCCGCTGGAGGAGGAGCGCATCCTCGAGCGCAATGCGGGTTGCAACGCGCGGGCCCTCCCGCGGCCTGGCGCCCCGCGGGCCGCCTGGAGGGGGGCGCAGCGCGGGCCGCACCTCCGGTGCCCGAGGTCGGCCGTAGCGGCGAGCTCAGCGGAGGTGGAGCCGCGGGCTGCGGGCGCAGATGCCATTCGCGTCGCTGATCTTGAAGCGGAGCTCCTGGCGGAGGCTGACGCCCAGGCGAGCAGCGGTGCGTTCTTTCCCCCGCCAGGCGTTTGGGTGGTCGCTGACCCACTGGCAGGGGCGAGGGCCTTTTCGGGAGGGCTTCGACGCGGGCAGGCGCCGTGCTGGGACGGCCTCCGGCGCTCCGCGGAGCGGCGACGGCGTGGCGCTGCAGGAGCAGTGCGTGCCTTCCTCGTCCTTCCGCGGCGTATGGGAGGTCTGCAGCGACGGTGCGCGCGGCGGCGGGCAGGCTGCCCCTGCCGCCAGGGCAGAGCCTGGCCCTCCCCATGAGGGGTTTTGGCAGGCAGGCGCGGCGATGGAGGAGGACGGCAGGGCCGCCCTCCATGAGCCGCGCCGTGCGTTCGATGGTGTGCAAGGCGGCACTGCAGGCGAGAGAGCGCCGCGGCCGGCGCTGCTTCTGGAGAGCCTGGCGGGGCCAGGCAGCGACGACGGCGTCGATGGCGGCTTTGTGGGCGGCCCTGTCGATGGCGACGCGGACGGAGACACGGCCTGCCCTGGACCCCCCGCCCGTTCGGAGCCCGTCAGCCACGTCCTGGAGTATCTGGACCGCTTCGGCGCGGCGGCGCTGAGCGGCGGCACGGCAGGGGGGCTGGAGAGGGGCGCCGCCGGTTCCGAGCGGGCCGCCGCTGCGGCGAGTTCCGAGGGGCACCTCCCTTTCCTCGATGAGTTCGGCTTGGCCGCGGTGGCTGCAGCGGCCCGCGGGCCGCTTTCGGGAGGGGAATCGCTCCTGGACCTCGCCGAAGGCCGCGCCGAGGATTGGCTTCGGCAGCGTGAGCTTACACTCGGAGACAGGGCAGAGGTCGAAGCCCGCGCTGAGAGCTTACTGTTGCAGAAGGGATTTCGTAGTGATTCTTGATCACGGTGATTGCTTTGAGGTAGATGGTCAGTGATCGCTTCAGGCTTGTGCTGTCCTCACACCTTGATGCTGGGAGTCGTGAGTGAAGCCTCCTGTACTTGAATGTGCACGCTGTGTATTTGCAATGCAGTCGAGTTCACTCTGGCGCAGGTAGTGTAGTTTCGTTTTGCTATGCGCTGCTGCAGGGGGGGTCGGCTTGTCACGCGTTCGGCAGCCGTCCCCTGGTGGCCGCGGTGGAGGCCCAGGGCGGCCCCCGCGGGGAGAGGCGGCCCTAGGTGGCCCCTCTCGGGAGGGCGTGTCTCGGGTGGCGCTGGTGGCCCCTGGAGGCCCCTTCGGTTTTTTTTTCTTTCGCCTTTAAGGCCCCGCCTTTAACTTTAATTTTATTTTTAACACGCAAAACACAAAGGAGCATTGGAGAACAAGCAGTAGCGCGGCATAACACACAGGAGCACGGCAGCACACGCAGGAGCACGGCTGAACGCATAGGTGCACGGCAAAGTTGACGGCAACACAAACGGGAGCATGGCAGAACACACAGGAGCACGGCAGATCATGCAGGATCATATCCGTAGCCATTTTGGCTCAAGCCTGCCTCGGGCGCGCGCGGGCGGGCTCGAGAAATGGCGGCGGCGGGCTGCCCCTCGCTGTGGCGGCCTTCTTCACGGCGCGCATTGGAGACCTTGCGCCTCGGCCCGACGGCGGCTCGCCGAGCGGCCCGCGGCCGCGCGCGGGTGGCCGCCCGCGCTGAGTGCGCGCGGCTGCGGGGGGGCGCTGGACCTGCGGGGCGCGGCGCGCGGGGCCGACGGCGTCTCCGTCGGGGCCGCCCGCCGCGAGGAGCTGGCCAGGCCCTCCCTTTTGGCGCGGCTCCGCGGCGAGCCCGAGAGCGGGGCCAGGCGCGTGGCGCGCAACGTCTCGCTGCGCGCGAGGCAGTGCCCGCAGGCAGGCGCCCCCCTTTCGGAGTGGAGGGCTGCGCAGCGCGGAGGCCGCCTGGATGGCGGAGCCGGCGCCGCTGCTGCTGGAGGCCCCATCGTCTGCGAGGTGGAGCTGTGCATCGGCGAGCCGCCCGTGGAGCTCCCGCCGGCGCAGCCCAGGCTACGTCGGGAGGCGGCCCCGTTCTGGCCGCGTCGACCACCGGGGCGGCGGGGCTGGCCGGCTGACGTCGACGCGCTGCTGGAAGGGCTGGGCGCGGTAGCCGACGGCGTTGTGCGCAGCGAGCTGCCCGAGCACGACTCGGTGCATGATGCGAGCGTGGAGAGCGATGCTGGGGGCGGTGCTGCGGGCGCTGGGCCGCCGCCGCCGCCGACAGCGTCTGCTCGCGGTATCTCGGGAGCGGACGGGTCTGCCGTGGGCCTGCTGGGAAGCGGCGCTGCGAGCGCTGGAGCGCCGCCGCCGCGGGCCCGCGCTGCTGGGGACGTCGTCGGAGGAGAGCGCCGCGTTGATAGCGACGGCGACGGGGGCCTGTTCGAACACGCAGGTGCCGCCCTCGGAGTGCAAGGGATCCCTGGAGGCACTGCTGGCCGTGTGCCGCTGCCTCCCGTCTCGGGCCTGGTTCCGTCGAGCTGGCCGAGCAGTTTGTCGAGCGCGGGCTGGAGTCCGACTCTGCCTCCGAGCCCGTGGCCGTGAGCGCGGCTGGGGCTGGCGCGGGCGCGTCCGAGGTGGCCGCCGCCTGCTCGGCCAGCGCTGCGCCTGGGGGCCGCGAGCCCGCCGTGCAGCAGTACCTGAGCAGGCGTCCTGCGGCGATCCTACGTGGAGACCGCGAGCCCGCGGGCTCTCGCGGGGCGGCCCGGTGGTGCGCTCGGGGCGCGGTCGCCCGCGCCTGGCTCGAGGTACCAGCCGCGGGCGGGCACGCGGAGGCCGACGCGGGTGCAGCGGGGAGCTCGGGCTCGGATGCGGGTTCGTGCTTTAGTGGAGCGGGCGCCGCCTCTGCCCGCGGCCGGGCGGCAAGCTGCAGAAGTTTGATTTCGTCTTCGAGGGAGGCGGACTTCGAGGAGGAGGAGTTCGTCTCGGATGGCAGCGAGCACGGCTTCGATGACGGCCCCGTGGAGCAGGACTACGACGTACTTGCCCGCATGAGGGCCAGCGACGAAGCTTAGCGGGCTGCCCAGGAAACCCGACTGAGTGCCTGGGATGAAGCTGGGGAGGCCTGCCTCGAGGAGTCGATCGAGGAGGAGCCCCAGGATTTCTGCGAGTCTGGATATCATTCATCGCCTCATCTTGGTAGGGGGTGCGTGAGGCGGGCAGTTGCACTCTGTATGTAGATACGTTCTCGCCTTGTGGTGCGGCCGCGGTGGAGGCCCAGTGCGGCCCCGCGGGGAGAGGCGGCCCTAGGCGGCCCCTCTCGGGAGGGCGTGTCTCGGGTGGCGCTTAGTGCCCCTGGAGGCCCCTCGGTCCCTTTCTTTTCCTCCCCCCCTCTTGCCTTGAAGGCCCCGTCTTTAACTTTAACTTACCACGCAGGATCACAAGGGGCACGCAAGAAAACACAGAGTACATAGGAGCACGGCAGAACACACAGGAGCATGGCAGAACACACAGGAGCGCGGCAGATCACACAAAACGCATAGGAGCACGTCAGAACAAGCAGCAGCACGGCAGAACACACAGGAGTGCGGCAGAACAAACACGAGTGCGGCAGTGCACATCGGATCACGGCCGAGGAGGACCATGGCAGAATACACAGGAGCACGGCAGAATACACAGGAGCACGGCAGAAAACGCAGGAGCACGGCATAACACTTAGAAGATCTATTCAGACAGCCGCACCCACAGGCACACGCACACAGGCACAGGCACACGCGCACGCACACGCACACACACACACACACACACTGACACATACACACACGCACACACGCACACACGGAGAGGCAACATATGTTCACGCAGACCCCAGGAGTACGGCAGAGCAGCGTTGCCGCTGACCACCACGCACGGACACACATGCACATATTCACCGCACGCACGCGCACGCGCAAACGCACGCACGCCACGTTATATCTGCGCGGCAGACCAACAAAAGAGTATATTTCACATACCTAGTGAACAGAAGCGACGCTTCCCGTTCTTGTCCAGTCAGGTTTGCGGATGCCCGCGCGGATTATCCGGCCCCGCCGGCCCTTTCCTTCCTGGCGGCATATCCGGCAACGCCCGAGGCGCGCTCCACGGACCAGGGGAGGGGGGCCCATCGCAAGACATTTGCGAGAACCTCCGGAAGTTGATGCGTTTGCAAATGTTTGTTCCCCTTGATTTGTGGATTGGGCGTCGCGGCAACATCGATGTTCGGGCGTTGCTCGAGGTAGTCGTGGACCAAGGCGGCCCATTTTTTCCAGGGGCCGAAAATTGTAGGAAGAATTCGTGGATGTAGCGAAGGCCGTGCGACTGGTGCCGCCAACCTTCAAGGCGGAACCTCCCCCGTGACCCCCACTGGCGACCCCTCCCCCTTGGACAACATGGGGTCGGCATTCTGACCCGGGACCCTACCCCCCGGCAGCCCTGGAAGGCGGTTTTCTGACCCGGGACACCCCGCCCAAGGACCTTTCCCCCCACCCCTTCTCCTCGGCAGGGAAGGGATTTAAGGGAAGTTCTTCCCTCTGACCAAACTACGACCTTTTTCGGGACCCTACGGGGGCGTTGCTCTGACCCGCCCCCCCCCCTCGCATCCCAGGGGGTCGATATCTTGACCCCCCGGGATGAAGCGAAGGGGCTTCCTTTCGACTTAACTGCGATGTTCCTTTCAATTGTTCCTCAATTGTTTGGGACTGACCTCTGTGACGACGTCGACGACGACGACGACGACGACGACGACGGCAGCGTCCTCCACACGCCCAAAAAGGGTCGGCGGATTTTGTGCACCTCCCGAGTCATGGGTGCTGGTTCCTGGCCCTGGGGCCGACAGAACGAGCCGGGATGGAAAGCTGCCCTTGGTTTCGGGACCCACGTCACGAACAATGTCCGTCGGAGGAGAGGGCCGTGGCGCGATCCGCACCCCAATGTTCTCCGCCTCGACGCCGCAGACGCATCGCCAATGTATGGGCGATGCATCGGCGATGCGGTGCGATGGCCCGACTCCATCCCCTCGAGGCTCGAGGTTTCGAAGATTGAAGAGATCGCCGTCTTTTGGTGCTGGTAGCTTCGAGGATCGAGGCTCCACGCTCGAGGATCCAGGTTCGGGATCTCCTGCCCGGGCGTTCCTCTGAGCGACAGCACGCGTGGAAGATTTAGTGTACAGTACGGCAGGGCGCGGTGACGAGCCCAGCGCGGGCATGTAAGGTTAAAAACGCCGCCAGTGGTCCAGAGTCGGCCGATCGCGAGCGATCCGCGCTGTCGGAAAGCCGCGATCGCCCAAGGCTGAACGGTCCAGGACGCGGCGTCGACCTTGGCGCGGGCGCTCGAGGTTTGACGCCACCTGTGGAGTCGGTCGATATCGAGTGATCCGCGCTGTCGGAAAGCCGGGGCCGCGATCGCCCAAGGTCCAACGGTCCCAGCGGTGCGAGAAACAACCGCCCGTGTCGGAACGGCGCGAACTTGCCGTTAACAGTCAACGGGATCGATTGCGCTGACCCTCTCGTGCAAGTTGCCTGCATGCGTGCGGTTGCGCCCTCTTTCGGGCGCGCCTATGATCGCCATGCCATCGTGCGTAAGATTGCTACGACCTGTTCCGTTCGGAGCAGAGCGAGTCGAGACAACGGCAGATCAGACTAGGTCCCCAGACGCCACTCGGGGTCCAAACGAATCCATTGTCCGAGCTGCGCCCAGCCACGGCGACGAGGGCTCCCCCGAGCGCCAGCCACCACTGTCTCAGCTGGCCCTCGTCTGGCCATCATCATCATCATCATCATCATCATCATCATCATCATCATCATCATCATCATCATCATCAGCATCAGCATCAGCATCAGCATCATCATCATCATCATCATCATCATCATCATCATCATCATCATCATCATCATCATCATCATCATCATCATCATCATCATCATCATCATCTCTCCCGGAACGCAGATGTCGGGATTCCGGGAGGACGCAGTCCCTCTGCACGAGCTCGCGCCACGATCGGTCTATGGCAGGACTCGCCCCGCCTCGCCGCGGTGGCGACGCCTCAAGGTACATTCGGGACACTTTCGGGCTCTGGGGGTGGGGGGCCTCGTGGCCGCTGCAGGACGCAGCTCGAGAGACTGGTCAGCGTGGTTTCAAGTTTCGGCGGCGCGCCGAGGGGGGAAGGGAGAAGGGGCAGAGCTTCTCAGAGCGCGGCGGGGCCCCCCCAGGAAGCCCTCCTGGCCTCCCGGGAAGCCGTCCCTGTCTTCCCGGGAAGGCTCAGACATCTGCTCCGAAGGCAGGCGGCCCTCCGAGCCCTCTGGGAGGGCCCGCCCCCCTCTCGCCTCCCCCCCGGGGTGCGCCGCCGGTGGACACAGCTCGAGAGACCGATCTCGAGGGCTCGAGGGCGGTTTCGGAGAGAAGGTGGCCCTGGGCAGGCGCGCGCCGCCTCGACGCGCGCGGCGACGCCGGCGCGGGCGTTCACGATGGATCGCCCGCGGAGGGCCCGTCTCGCGCCCCGGGATCCCGAAGAGGGGAAAGGCGGAGCGAGATTCGGAGGTAACCAATGGGGCGATGGCTAGGGGGAGTGGCTATCATGGTCTGGGCCATGGTATCTTCCCAGATCGATGGCCCTTTTTTCATTTCGATATATGGTCCCTTGGTCCCCCCCTGGTCCGCGCACACTCCTCGGGCAATGATGTGCGAACCCCCTCTTGGATGCCCCCCCCTCCTGGAAGCCTCGAGAGGTCCACAGCTGGCGAGTTCGACCGAAACCGATGTTGTGGCCTGGATTGCACATGTTCTCGTGCATGTGATTTGTAGCCGATGTGGCTCTTAGGCACTGTTCTGATCTGTTTCGCCCGCCCGCAGGTTTCCTCGATCATCGTGGGCGCGTACTGCTGGATGCTCAGCGGTCTCGTCGTTGTGGTCGTACCCCACGAGGCCACAGGTGCCACGTCGCATCTTGGGTTTGGCTTGCGCTCGGCGAGGGAATCCCGAACACGCACATCTCCCTACACCGCTCGCGCTGTGGGCCACGAATGCGCACTGAACTAACGGCATGGGCCAGTAAACTGTCATGGCGAACGAATGCGTACATGTTAATTGTATTAGAATCGAAGCCGGGAAAGGCAAAGAGACAAACAAGCGAACAAACAAACAAGGCAAGGCACACAAGACAAATATGTAGCACTTCGCAGTTGCGTATTAGAGTGAGAGGCGGCGGGAACGTCTGCAGTCTACGAGGCTCTGAAGAAGCTCGCCGCAGGCGCTTACTTGTTTTACAAATTATTATGCAAAGAGCCCGCCGCAAGCGCCGATTTATTCGTTGAAGCATCGCGGGTGGGTCGCGGGTGGGTCGCGTCTGAGTTGGTCGCAAGCCGGGTCGCAGGCCGGGTCGCAGGCCGGGTCGTGGGCGGGTCGCGGGTGTGGCGCGTGTGGGGCGCGGGTGGGTCGCGGAAGGGTCGCGGGGTGGGTTTTGGGTAGGTCGTTGGTGTGTCGCGGGTGGGTCGCGTGTGGCTCGCGCGGGGAGGGCCGTGGGTGGGTCGCGGGTGGATCGTGGGTGGATCGAGGGTGGGTCGCGCGTGGGTCGCGGGTGGGTCGCGGGCAGGGTCGCAGGGTGGGTCGCAGGTGGGTCACGGGTGGGTCGCGGGCGGGTCGCTGGGTGGGTCGCGGGTGGGTCGTGGGTGGGTCGCGTGTAGGTCTCAGTTGAGCGGAAGATCGGGACAAATCGGAACCTGAGATTCTGGGAGAGTTCCAAAGAAAAAATAGAACGCCGAATTGTGGAGCGCAGCGCGCGCATTCGCAGAAGTTCCCCAAGGACTTTTCGAGGGCTTGAGGAGCCCAAGTAACGCGTGGGCGCTCAATTAATCTGTTGAGGGCGGGCAGAAAAGCTGGTGTACACGAGCATTGGGAGCGGGTGCGCGGCTTGCACGGGGGGCGCAGTAGGTTTGCGTTTCAGGGGTTTGGGCGCTGGCCGATGCGTTGATGGGGGGCCCGAGAGTGCGTCACACATATTACGCCTGTGGCGCCATGGAGGCCGCATGTGCGGTTGCAGTGGGGCGGGCGCCCCGCCGCGCGCACCGTCGCGACAGCTCTCCTGGGCGCCCGCCCGCCGCCGTGGACGTAGTGGGCCCAGCTAGTCTCGCGGTCGGCGCGCGGCGGGTCGGCAGCCACGACGCTGGCGGCCTGAAAATGCTTTGAAAGTGTTTCTCCCCGAGCCCGGGGCTCTTGTACGTTTTCGGTGGCACGCGCAGCTCGGAAAAGAATCGCCTTGTCCGTCGGCGGCCAGTTGGCTGTCGTCGCGCAGAAGTACCGGCGGATGGCGCGGTCCACGCTCAGCGCAGAGAGCGTGTCCATGGGCGTGGACTCGTCGAGGGGCAGGAGGAAGGACCTCGTGGTCGGGACCATCGCGGCCTGCGATGTCCACGGCCCCCACCCTCGGCGCGTGAAGACCTGCTGGGCGCCGCCGCAGGCCGATTTCAGAGAATCTCGGAACGGGAAATCCGGGCGCGCCAAATTTCGCGGGCCGAAAAACTCTCAGAGAATTTCGGCCAGCTCCGAGGTTTTGGGTTTATGGGAATGTTTCACGCGGGGTGTCGAGTTCAGAGATTTTCAGAAATTCTCAGAGAAGTTCGGACGCGAGAATTTGGCGCGCCCCGTTTTCTGGTTCTGTGAATCTCTGAAAAGCGGTTCCTCAGGTTTTACCGGATCTCCAGGCGTCCCACTGTCAGCCAGAGACGAGCGACTGGCTGGCGCCGCGCCCGATGCTTCCGGAGTCGCGAACTCGGTCCTCGATTCCTTGGGGCCCGCGGGCTCCTTTTCCAATGCCTTCTTGGGCATTCTCGCGGTGTTGCGTGGCGGTAGAGGTCACTGAGTGCTGCGTTTTTTGACATTTACACGTGTTTTTCGTTGCGTTGGTTGCGTGATTGTTTTGGCGGTCCGCCTCTTTGGGGCCCCCTTGGGGCCTCAAGTTTGTTTTGTTGACGTCGGGTCTTCTGGAGTGAAAGGCGCTTGGCGCTGAATTCCCTCGGGCGCGCGCGTGGCCAAATACGCGCCGTGGCCTCATCCGCGCCGGGGCGCATTCCTTCCCTCGCGAAGCCGATGGTGCCCAAGGCGTGGCAGGCCCGTTCGGTGGCGCCCCCAGTGATTTGAAAAACCGAGCATGATTTTTATCCCGGTCAAACTTTGCCCCGATCCCGGCTTCGTTTTAAGGTCGGGGGTTGGGTTTTGGGTGTGTCGCGGGTTGGTCACGGTTGGGTCGCGGGTGGGTCACGTGTGAGACGTGGGCCGGTCGCGGGTCGGGTTGCGGGTGGGAGGACGACAAAAAACGGAACCTCAACAACAATAGCATTAACAACAACAACAACAATAATTTCAAGATTGTTCGCCTTTGTAGATGCTCGAGTGTCCAATAACGCGTATTTCCAAAATCCTCGATACCCGCCCTCTTTCTATTCGATCGAACACCTTTTGGGGGGTATACCTTTCTTCCCTGCAGGCCGGGCCCCGGCAAGCGGCGGGGCGGCCGCGGACCTTCGGCTTGGCCAGCGGCAGCGCTGATCGGCGGGGCGGCCGCGGACCGTCGACCCGACCCCAAGGGGGACGGTCAGGGGACCGACCACGACGACGACGACGACAACGACGACGTCGAATACGGCGACGACGACGACGACGACGACGACGACGGCGACGACGAGCGAAAGCGAGAGCGAGAGAGAACGACAGCAGGGCCACGAAGGGCACGAAGTAGGCCACGAAGGGCGACAGCGGGGACACGAAGGGAATGCGTATGGGGCAACGAAAAGCGCGAACGAGCAAAGGCCACGAAGTGCAGATAATGCGGGCCACAGAAGGCAACTATGGGGCCACTGAGGGTAGCAACTGGGCCACGTAGGACAGTGAGGGGGACACAAATGGCGACAGCGGGGCCACGAAGGGCACGCACATGGGGCCACAACGGACGCGATTCCTGGGTGCCTGGGTGTCGGGAGCGCGGCGCTTGGGCAAATTACAGGAAATTCCAACGCAAGGCCATTCTTCAGTAAATTGCAAGCAAGTCTCCAGCGAGAGCGCGACTCCATAGCGCCGGGAGAGCGATTCCTAAATAGATTGTAAGGAAGTCCCAAGCGAGAGCGCGATTCTCCACTAAAATGCGAGGAAGTCTCGGGCGGGAGCGGGGGCCCTGGCTAAGTTGTAAGGAAGTCTCGGGCGGGAGCCGTTGTTGTTGTAACCTGGGGGCCAGGGGCCCACTTTGAGCATCAAGACTTTCCTTGTCAAAAAACAGGGTGCGAGCGTCGAGGGGCACACTTTGATTGAACAAAAATAGTGTGCACAGGTGGGGGGTGATCAACAATAATTATTTTCAGAAATGAGAATGCAACAACAGCAGCAGCAACAACAACAATCATTGCATGACGGTTCGGTTTTATTTCCCGCGTTCCGTTCAACACGTAAATCCCAAACCCTCGATACCCGCCCTCTTCGTCTACGACCATATCCGCTCAGTAACGGGTGGAACAAAGGACAAGGGGCAGGCGGGTTGTTGAAGCGTGCGTCCTTCGCGAATCGCGAGGAAGTCTCAAGCTATAGCGTGATTCCCAAATACATCATGAGAAAGGCCAAAGCGAGAGCGTGATTTCTGAGTGTTGCGGGCGCGGCATTCGAATCAACTTTGAGGAAGTCCCACGCGTGAGCGCGATTCTTGAATACATTGTGAGGAACCCCGCGCGAAAACGCGATTTGGGAATCCACTCTGAGGAAGTATCAGGCGGCAGCCGGAAGTTTAGTGGCCCCTCGGTTTTCCTGGACAAAACCCGGTGCGAGCCCCAGGGGAAGCAATTACATCGAAACGTAGAACGGTTACCAGAGGGAGGTGACCAACAATAATCATTATTTGTGAGAGGGGAGTTCAACAGCAACAACAACACCAACACCAACAACAACATCATCAACAACACCATCAACAACACGCATTTTGAGACTGTTCCCTCTTACCTGCTCGCTTCCATTGCACACGTATTTCCCTAACCCTCGGCACTCGCCGTTTTCGTTTTCGATCGTACACCCCTGGGGGTATCTCTTCTTTACCTGCCGCGCGTAATTGGTGCAGCCCCTGAAACAGAGGAAAAGAGGACGGATCGAAGGGGGATTGAGAAGGATGGAACACGGGATTAGCAGGAGGGGGGGCTGGGAGCAGAAAACACGTGGCAGAACCAGACGGGCCCATCGGACTGGGAAGGCGGGCCCAAGCGGCCAGGTCGAGCAGGCGGGTTGTGGAAGCGCGAGCATTGCATGAATCGCATGGAAAGCTCGAGCGATAGCGCAATTCCAAAGTAAATCGCGAGATTGGCGCAAACAAGAGCGTGATTCCCGAGTGTCGAGGGCGCGGCGTCTGAATACATTGCGAAGAAGTCCCACGCGACGGCGCGACTCCTGCATACATTATGAGGAAGTTTTGCGCGAGAGTGCGATTTTGGAATAACCTGTAAGGAATTTTCTTTCGGGGGTCAGAGTTGTCGTAACTCTGGGGCCAGGGGCCCGGTTTTGCGATACCTCGTTATCCCTTGTAAAAAGCAGGCTGCAAGCCCCGAGACGGGGCACTGCAATACAATCGTTACCGGAGGGGTGGGACCAACAACATTCAGGATTCAGAAAAGAGAATTCGATTACAATCCGCACCGCGGAACTTCACTTTCAGCAACGCGCCCTTTGGACAGTGAATAACCGCTCGGCCCCTCACTCTGATCCAACCAAACAATCAGCAATTATATTCGACCAAATGAGCCACGCGTCCTCCGTGCGCTGGCGGAGCATCGGGCTGTTCGATGACCTCGATCGGGGCCGTGACCTGCGATCCGAACAAGCCGTCAATGCAGCCTGCAGGTGCAGAGGCAGAGGCGGTGCGGCGGTAGGTGGTTGTTTGGGAGTATGGGGAGCGTGCGTCGATGA